TTTTCTTCACACTTGTCCCCCCCCCCCCCCCCCCCCATCTCCAGCAGCAGCAAAGATGGCAATTGCAGAGCCCATGAGGAGGATCTCTATAATCAGAGACAACCAGCTTGAGCTTAGATGAATCAACAAGGAGAGCGGCATGATTCACCACCATCAGGGTAAAGTTGCCTCCAACATACTTGCTCCCAGACATGCTGGCCAGAAATTGACTGCAGTTACACAATTATGCACTCAGGGAATACTATAAAAAACAATCCATTGCATTCCTCTAGCACCAGTGCAATGCAAGATTGCCATCCAGCTTCCGTTCTTAAAGCAAGTTCTATGTACTCTGGCATGCCTTGAGAATCGTTTTATCTCATTCTGGAACCTGCCAGCCTTTTTTTTTTCCATCACTTACAGCAGATAAGCCCTTGTTCTCACGTTTAGCCCTGTTACAAACCTCGCACCCCTGGAATTTAAAAATGCCTATCTGTTACGCCAGCCCTCACCTACCTTCTGGCAGCAGGGACATGGATGCTGATGGAATCTCCCCCACCTTCCCTATCTGAGCACGCTGGGCACCAGCTCCAGGAGGTGGGGGCAGCGACGACTCTGATGCATCCCCAGCCTTGAAGGGGTTCACCTTGGGTTTAGGGGCAACCACAGGTGCAAACTTCTTCTGTGGATTGTAGAAGAAAGGGGTAGAAATGTTGATGTTGACTGCGGATGTCATGCGGGTCCCTGGGGCACCTGGGGAGGCCATCTTCTCAGCACCTGGCAGGAAAGAAGAGGGAGGAAACCAATATGAAGTCACCCTTGGTCCAGAGTGGAAATTAATAGAGAGAAACATGTGAAACAGAGGGATACAGAAGTTTAAGTCCATCCAGAGGCTAAGGTGCCCAAGCAGAGCGCAGAGCGCTTCCAGGATCAGCACGGAGAAAAGGAGGAACAGAAACTGCAGACAGCTCGAATGAGCCATCACGCTTCATTTCAGCTCAGTACAGCATCAACCACAAAGGGCTTCTTGCCACAAGGAAACCCAAGCTTTTTGCTGCACAAGAACCCTGAACGCAGCATGCTGGAGAGGACAGCAGTGGGCCACCAGAATGCGTGTTACCCACCATGCACACCCTAAGGGGTGCCCCCATACATGCTCTCCCACAACTGGAATTAG